TCCACTCACCTCAGCCTCCCAAAGGCGCGGGATTGCAGGCTGAGCCACCGAGCCCGGCTATTTTTTTTGAGTAGGAGTCTCACTCTGTCACCGAGGCTGGAGGGCAGTGGCATGCTTCCGGTCACCACAGCTTTGATCTGCTGAGCTCAGGCAATCTTTCTGCCTCAGCCTTCCAAGTAGCTGGAACTATAGGCACACGTCACCACACCCAGATAATTTTTTGATTTATTGTAGAGATGGGGGTCTCACCAAGTTGCCCAGGCTGGTCTCGAACCCCTGGGCTCAGGCAATTCTCTCACCTTGGCCCCTCCCAAAATGCTGGGATTATAGATGTGAGCCACTGCGCCTGACCTAAAAAAATTTTATTTTATTTTTTAGTTGGAATGTCCCTCTTTTGCCCAGGCTGGAATGCCGTGGCATGTTCACGGCTACTGCAGCCTTGATCTCCTGGGCTCAGGTGATCCTTCCACCTCACCTTCCAAGTAACTGGAGCTACAAGTGTGTACCCCCACACCTGCTAATTTTTTTATTTATTGTAGAAACGAGGTCTTGCCATGTTACCCAGGTTGACCTTGAACCCCTGGGCTTCGGCAATCCTCTTACCTCCCCCTCCCAAAATGCTGGGATTACAGGCGTAAACCACCATACCCAGTCTGTTATTTAGTTTCCTTTGAGCAATAATTAAGCATTTTGGAAAATTTTAAATGAAAGTTGTAGACAATAGGGAATCTTCCATATTATAACCCTGTATATACACACACACACACACACACACACACACACACACTCACACACACACACTACATACTACTTTTAGGGAATGTTTTCAACATCATGGAAGACAAGGATGTCTGTTTCCGACATCATTCTTCAAAATTAGAACTTTTAGCTAAGGAAATACGACAAGTAAAAGGAATATGATGTGCTAGCATTAGAAGGAAATATTTTTCAACAGTTTAAAATTTTATCCTATTTAATTCTGAATAACTAAAACAATCATAGTTCAAAATTCAAGAGGTATAAACAGGATATAGAAATATTCCTACCTCAACTGTCAGTTCTCTTCTCTATGTTATTTGATTCCTTTGATTTTTCCAGATATGTTTTACATACACACATTTAGAAAATAAGATTATTTAATAAGGGGCAGCAAATAAATTTTACCTCTTTGGCCAACTCCACATCAATGAGGGATTTTCTAGGTAATGCCGGGCTTGGCTGGGAGAAGCAATATATCTGATTAACAATGTCTGACATAAGCAAGAGACTTGGTGTGTGGCAACCTGCAGTATATCTTACAATCCTAGACTGTCATTTCTTAGTTGTTAGGGTGAAATGAGAGAAAAACAACATCTCTAACAGACCAACCCATGCAGAAAATGTTTAAGACAAAATGAAAAATATAAGGTCCATACCTGGAACTGTCACCTGAATGATGTTAAGATCTTTAACACCCGCTGCAGAATTGGTAGTACTGGATGAACGTGTGTTTCCTTAAGACAGAAAATGAAGTTTAGAATTTGCAGACGGTAAGGCCTCTAAAAACGTCAAAGTGCCAGTTTGATCAGAGCCTGGGCAAAATTTTTAAATGCAGGCAGCATCTCGAGATGAGACAATAAGGTGGCTTAGCACCAATTGGTATTTTGAGTCTCTGCAGTTCAATGCTAATGCCAAAGGGGGAAGCCACAGTGACTTTTCTTTCTTTCTTTCTTTTTTTTTTTTTTGAGTGGGAGTCTCACCAGGCTGGAGTGCAGTGGCATGCTCACGGCCACCGCAGCTTCAACCTGCTGGGCTCAGGCAATCCTTTTACCTCAGCTTTCCAAGTAGCTGGAAATACAGGTATGCACCACCACACCTGGCTAATTTTTTGATTTACTGTAGAGATGCAGTCTCACCTAGTTGTCTTAACACCCTTCTTTTTAAATAAAATTTGACTGAAGTATTAGGGACTAAGTATGTAATAAAAGTCAGCCAAGCGCGGTGGCTCAGCCTGTAATCCCGTGCTTTGGGAGACTGAGGTGAGTGGATTGCCTGAGCCCACGGGTTTGTGACCCGCCTGGGCA